GAGCGGCCTGGGCCGGGGGTGCGAGGCTGGCACCTGTGCGTCTCCGCTCCTCCCACCTTCGGTTTCCGTCACACCCTCCACCACAGAGCAGATCACTGGACTTGACAGCCCGCAGGCCTGGTTTCAATTCCAGCTCCTCCACTGACTAGCTGTTTGACTCTGGGAAAGTTGCATAGCGTCTCCACGCCCTCCATTTCAGAGTGAGAAAAGTCACACACGGGAGGCCTGTGACGAGGACTGAGCTAGGTGACACCTGCAGGGCACGCACAGTCCCTCCCCTCGCAGGCGCGAGAGCCCACTCTGTCCGTGAACAGGCCTTCTGGGGCGTCTCCAAGGCCCCAGCGTCTGGCCTCACAGGTCTGGCCTTCCACAAGCCTGGTGGTAATAACCTCTACATCAGAGAGCAGTGAACAATGTCTACAGATGTCCAGGGCCACCCTGGGTCCCTCCTTTCCTCCTTCCGTTCCAACATGCTTTGAAATTAATTCCTGAGCCGTGGCAGCAGGAGGAGTCTGGGATTGGAGGGTTTAAGCTACAAGCAGTAGGCAGACTGAGGCTGCTCCTACACAGAAGCCTTGATAGAGCAACACTTCAGGAACCCCGGAAGGAGTAACGCGAGCACACGTGCACACACGTGCATTATTTTGTCTCCCCCTCCCCTGGCCTCCCTGATTTTCCTGTGAGCAGTATTCACAGGGGCTTTCCTTTAGATGGATTTTGAGTTCCTAAGGGCAAGAACTCTACCTCATTCTTTTTGTCTTCCTAATGTCAGCATAAGAACTGGAATAAACTAACATTCCTTAGTTAGATAGATGGATGAATGGATGAGTGGATAAATGGAGAGATACATGGGTGGATGGATGGAAGGACAGATGTGTGGATGAATGGGTGGATGGATGGGTAGATGGTTGAGTGGATGGATGGATGGGTAGATGGATGAATGGATGGATGGTTGAGTGGATGGGTGATGAATGGATGGAAGGAAAGACAGATGGGTGGATGGATGGATGGATGGATGGATGACTGAGTGGATGGGAGGATGGGCAGGTGGACAGACAGATAGTTGTGTGGATGGGTTGATGGGTACAGAGGATAATGGGTGGATGGTTAGATGAGTGGATGGAGGGACCAGGTCAGGGCACCTCACAGCACACATGCACTTGTTCCTCTCAGCACTTACCACGACTCCCACCATCTATTGATTTCAGCATCTGTCTCTCTCCCACAAGACCACTGCTCTAGGAGGGCAGAACTAAGTCTGTCTCTCACAATTAACCGCTGCACTGAGCCCAGGGCCTGGTGCATGGTGTGCACTCAGGAAATACTTGTCAAAAAAAAATAGACTGGGGCAGCAGACGGGAAAAGGGGAGACCAGGTTTGTATTATTACAGGAAACACGAATGAATGGGCACAGTAGTTACTAAGGTTACATGAAAACTGCAGATGAAGTTTTAAATGCACATCAGCTACTTTATCTGAAATCCAAAACGCCACATGGTCATGGGACTCAAACCAGTTGACTGAATGCTTACTGTCTCCTTTTCTAGAAAACTAAGTGAGAGGCGCCGAGCTGGTGTCAGACGTGGATGCAGCTCAAGAGGAGCCACAGACGCTCCCTGGCCCCCAGGACGCGCAGCGCAGCAGCCCCTCAGGGATGCCGGGTGAGCGCATGACGTGGGTGGAACCAGACAGAGCAGACAGCACGGGCGGGTGTCAACGGCACAAGCAATTTATTCTACTCGTCCAGAGCTGCTCGTCCACAGCATTGCCTGTTGTGACTCTACAGCGACTCTTACTTGTAAATCAAAATACACCTCCCAGGTGCTCCGTACTGGTGGCTGCTGATTACGTTCAACAAAATTAATCTCATGAATTAAAAACTATGACCATGTTATGACTCAAAGTTCATCGAGGAAAAACACTATACTTTCAGGTGCTGGCTATCAAATACAATTCAGTCTGCTTTGAACAAAGTAAAACATGTTACCTGTCAGCATGGCGTAATGAAGAAAACTCTACATGAGGCTACTTAGATTCTGCACCCATTTCCTCATTAACTCACTTATTAACTCATGAGTTAACGTAAATAACTCACCCATCCTTCTCTGGTTACTCACTGTGTCACGGGTACACAGTGCCTCAGCCCTGAAAAAATTATTTATTTTAATATCTGTGAAAACTTATGGAACAATATAAAATAGTGGTTATATATAGTGTTAATTCTACTTACTATAAAGATGTTCATATTACTAGGGTGCCTTTGAGTCACTGCTGTGTAAATAAAAGCTACATCCTGGTGATGCAAGAGCAAAGTTAAAGAGCACAGACGTCTGCTCAGAAGGACGTCACAGCATGTGTGTGGCTGACCGGCTTTTAAAAGAACTTCAAGTGCACTGCCAAATATTTTTGAAGGTGTGAAATATTATGCATCTGACAGAGCGTCAAACGGATGAATGGATGGATGGATGGATGGGTGGGTGGGTGGATGCATGGAAGGATGGGCAGGTGGTCGGTGACAGATGCCAACAGTGAGCCAAGCCAGGAGGGCACCTGGACCACTTAGGACAGTGAGAGTCTGGGAGCTCTGGGGGGTGATTTGGGTGATGGCAGAGCTGCATCTAAGCCTGGCTGGAAGATCCCTGTGCCTGTGGCTCCAGGCACCCCACTCCCTGCCCACATCTCCACCCTCCTCTCCCCCGCCCGGCGGTGCTTCTTGTCTGGAACCCACACAGACGATGAGCTTCCTGCGGGTAGGCAGAGGCTGGGTTTTCACCGTCTCTGGGGCTCATCCAACCTCAGACTTGGGGTGGAGCCAGCTCGCATCAGTGCTTGAGTGAAGACTGGAGCTTGGTTCACAGCCACCTGCGAGGGGAGGGGGTCGCCTGGGTCAGTGTGCCTGCAGGAGAGGAGAGGTTCATGTGGAAAGCCCCGGAAGCATGGGCAGTGGAGGGGTACCACCACCCCAAGGGTATGACCTCTGTGCTTGCTGGATGGTGAGAGACCGGGCCCAAATCACACAGCAGCGACTCCCAGGAGGCACAGAGCAACGGGGACCGCGGGGCTGGGCTCTGGGCCTTGGTGAGTGTGGCGCCCACAGGTCAGCAGGGCGGCCGCGCCCTGGGGCCTGCTGTCCTTGCACCCACCCGGACAGGGGCTCGTCCCACGCGGGGCCAACCTTGGGGATGTTTGTTTGTTTCACGTTTTCCAAAAAGGAAAATTCTGCAGAAACTTGAGAACTAGTTCTAAATGTTCTTCACGTTGGAAAACAGAAACCTCAGGAGAAAAAGAAAAGACAAGGGGCCAGTTTTCCGTCTGATGTTTTAATTCCCAGGAGGGGGTCTTCTGGCCTGGTCACGGCGCCCGCACACCAGGTCTCCTCAGAAGGTTCGCGGGACGAGTGTTGGCCTCCCTGCTGGGACTCACATTTTAAATATTAAGTAAAACCCACTGGAAGTTCCCTGTGATTCTATGCGGGGCAGTGACTGGCCTCACGTGCTGGCCCTGGCCCAGCCCTTCCCATGCCGCCTGTGAGGGCCCCGAGGCCCCGGAACCAGGCACACGGGCGCCCTCGTGTCCTCAGGGCCAAGGGGCGGAGGCAAGGTGAAGGCACCGTGTCTCCAGGTCCACAGGACCAGCTCCTCGGGCAGCTGGCGTTTTCTCCGGTGACGACGAAATCACCCAGAAAGGGCGCTGCCGCGTGGAGAAGTGTGCTGTGACCCTGCCCTGCTGTGCGACTGGGATGGTTCACTGGAGCTCTCTGGGCCCAACTTCCTCATTTCAAGGATGAGGCCAGGGCTGACCACACTTTGTTGAGTTGTATCAAAGGTCTGTTATCTCGAGAGAATGCAGACGTGAACATGGGAGGGTGGTCTGGCTGGGGAAGCTGCCGGCCCAGGGAGGAGACGGGGACCTGGGCCAGCCGCTGCGGGCCGTGTCCACGTGACAGTGCCCCGACGGGGACAGGGCTGAACAGGGTCAGTGAGTAGAAGGGTTTTCATGACCAAACCTTGTGGGCCCCCAGCTGGACTAGAAGGCACCCCCCAGAGGCAGCTGGTAACATTACTACTAAAGTTGAACTGAAGTTACCACTGCTCGCCCCCTATTTGGAGCCCCAAGTGTGGCAGGGGACCCCAACGGTAAGCAGCACCTGCCTCCCGGGAAGGCTCTTTCCTTCCGACCCCAACAGCCACTCCCTCCGCTGCTGGATGCCTGGTGCCCCACAGAGAGATCTGTGCACCCCTTTGCTAATTATCAAAATACAAATTCTCCCGTAAACAGAAAGGCCAAGGGGCAGCGCTCCCAATACCTGCCGGTCACGCGCACACCAGCACGAGGGAGGCCCGGCAGGTGCACATGCACCAGCACGAGAGAGGCCCGGCGGTCACCTGTGCGCCAGCACGAGGGAGGCACTGTAGCTCGGCAGCTAAGAGAACAGACCCCAGATCCAAATCCCAACTCTGCCACTTCCCAGTCACATGCCCAGGGCTACATCTTCACCTCCCTGCCCAGATCCCCATCTGAGAAATAGGGACAATAAAAACATGACGTCATGGGGTTGTCGGGGCCCTGAACAAGGAAACGTTGGTGTGGTGCTTAGAGCAGGTCACGTGAGGCTAATGTTAGTAGGATCACAGTTCCTCCCCTGAGAATCGGCTTTGAGCGGGAGGCGAGGGAGACTCCAATGAGACCAAGGGGTCAGGAAGGACATGGGGAGAGATCAGCTCAAGCCTGGGGGACAAGCCACCGGAATCTGGGGGCATTCCAGCTCTTCCGAGAGAGCGGGGCTCCAGCTCTACAGGGCAGAGAAGAGCACGCAGCCTCCGGGGTCCCAGGCTCCGCACAGAGGGCTGCAGGCGCCATGTGGGGGGGCGAGCGGGGGCAGCCGTGGGAACGCGCCCCAGGGCCTGCCTCTCCCCACGTGGCCTGCCCGAGTCAGCTCTGCGGGGTGCTGGCCCTTTTCCATCTGGAACGGCTGTGAAGCGGGCCCTCCCGAGGATGGGCTTGTGCAGGGGGGCGAGAACAAAAGAAAGCACACACCTAAACCCAGTCGCCCACGGAGGAGACAGTCAGCAATGCGATCCTTGTTCGGCTGTGCCTCCTGAGATGATGCGGAGAAAGAACCCACAAGGTGAGGGCGCAGGTGAGGGCGCAGGTGAGGGCCAGAGCCAGTCTCAGGCTGCCGCCCACCCCCCAGCCGGCATCACCTCTGACAGCGTTGAGGCAGCATCACTAAAAGCTACCAACCGTGGTCTGTGATCTTTTCTTCTACTTTTTTAAAAATCTCAAAACCTTCTCAGAAACAAGTCTGGCACCACCCCCCCCAGTGTGGTTAGGTCTGTTCCGACAACACTGCAGCCCAAACGGACGTCATCCGTCCTCAGGGAGCTACACTCAGACCCAGAGGAAGGAGGCCCACGTGCTCCTCGACAGCTCAGAGGGTGTCCACACTCTCAAAGGCTCGAAGTGCTGCTTGGAGCCCGTGACGACGTTTGTCCCAGTCACGTCACCGGGGACACGCGGCTGGCCCCCGGCTTGCAGAGCTCGGAGGAGCATTTTACCTGCTAGGTCACCGGTTTACTGTAAAGGGATGTAACTCAGGGACTGGCAGAGAAGACGCAGAGGGCAGGTGTGGGGAGGGACCCTCTCCAGAGTCACTCTCCCCAAATCTCCAGGGGTCCACCAACGTGGACGCTCCCTGAACCCCATTTTGGGGTTTTTTTTATGGAGTTCTCATTACATAAACACAATTGATGAAATCATTGGCAATTGAACTCAGTCTCCAGCCTGTCCCCTCCCTGGCGGCTGGGGAGGGACTGAACACTCCAAGCCTCCAATCACATGGGTTGGTTCCCCCGGCCACCAGCCCCTATCCTGAGGTTTGGCCAAAGGTCACCTCATTAACATTACAGAATCACCCTTAATGCCATCATCATTTAGGAAATTCCAAGGGTTTTAAAAGCCCCTGCCAGGAACAGTGGACGAAAACCAAATACGAATTTCTTACTATAAACTACAATATCACGAGCATGAAACACCAACCCCCGCAACCCACCCTTTGCCCAAACCACCAGGACACGCTGCGCCGTGACCGTCGGGGGTGAGGGCAGGACTCAGCGTCAGACGCATCGCACCCACCTCGGGCGGGGGCGCCTTATTCACGGAACACCTGGTAGCTGAAGCTGTCGGCCTGGGTTCCGAAGCTGTACTTCCCCGTCACTCTCTGGTATCGCGTGATGAGAAGGGCAGCTGCCCCCGCCACCGCGGTGAGGACGGCCACGGCGATGAGGGCCAGGTAACCGGAGCCCAGGCCCGGCTCTGCACCCGGAGGTGGTCCTGCAGAGACAAGACAGGCACAGGTGGGAGGTCTGGTCCCTGGGGGAGCCCAGCATCACCCTTGGAGTGTGGTGGGGCTCGGGATGGAGCCCGCCGTGGGGCAAGCGCTCTCATGTCGGCCACTCTGTAAAGTTATCACAATGTGACTGTGTACCTGCAGGTTCCCAGAAGTGCGGGGGCAGGCGTCCGAAGCCCGAAGGAGCACAGGAGCCAGGACAGCTCAGCCCACCCGTGTTCTTGATGATCCAAGAGGATCTCGCTGCGCGGGAGCAGCAGGGCCTCGGTGGGGGAGGGGAGCAGGCAGCTCAGCGGACCACCGCACAGAGACACCGCACGGGGGGCCTGCCCTCCCCAGACCCAGGGGTCGAGAAAAACACTGGAGCACCTGGACCCACATTTCAGCTATTTTTGCTGAAAACAGTGACTCACATAAATACTTGGACACGCAGGCTCACAGCAGCATCCCCACAACCACAAGAGGGGGCAGCCCGAACATCCATCAAAGGATGAGGGAGAAAACCCAGTGCGGCCCACGGCGCTCGGCCATAAAAGGGGTGAGATGCCGACACACGCCACCACGCGGATCAGCCGTGAGAACGTTCACCGTGGGGCAGTCACCGAGGACCACACGTCCATCATGTGACTCTGTTTCTAGGGACAACCGAGACAGAAAGCCAATCTCGAAGATTTCAGGGACAGGGGAGGGTCTGGGGAGTCTCTCCCAGTGGGCACGGAGCTGCCTTTGGGGAGATGAACAAGTTCTGAAACCAGAGAGCGGTGGTGTTTGCACAACACTGTGAATGTGCTAAGTGCCACCCAAGTGTTGATTTTAAAACAGGGACCTTTCTATTAGGTGACTTTTATCTCAATTTTATCACAGGAGCTTATTAAAAAGTCTGGGTAGGAAAGAGCCTTCCTGGGCGACAAGGGGTAACTGAGGTTCCATTTCCCATTCCCAGGGCTGTTGCCGGGAGTGGTTGCAGCTCTGGGTCTCCCGGTCATGGCTTAGGTGTGTGCAGTCACTCGAGTGCCCAGTAATGGCCTAGAAGAGGCCCCCTCCTGACCGCCTGCTCGGTGACCCTGCTAGAACCCGGGCAACCTCCCATCCAGAGAGAGGGACACACTGGGACAGGGACACTGGTGACGGTTGCTGGAGCAGCTGCAACCTCCAAGGAGCCTGAGGCCCCCAGACTCTGGGGCATCAGCTCCCTGACAACTTTTTCCCAGATGGGCCTTAAATCTAGCCTCCAGTGGGCCCTGCCCCGTGGAAAGTCGAGCCCTCCACAAATGTTGCTGTCACTTGTATTAGTATGAGTCTTTAGGAAAATCCAAAGCGTTCCATGTTCCCAAGTGGTTACTTGTTGGTGTCCATGCTGGTGAAATACATGTTTCCATTAATTGTCTAAACCAAGTCACCAACTCACCTTCGGAGCGAATGAGGGGCCCCCAGGACATCTGGTGCATCACAGATGTCTCCCCACTTCTCAGTGACCGCAAGTCATCGCAATTCTGTTGTTTTAAAAGGAGAGAAAGTTCAAATTAGTTGAACAATGTTCATGAGAAATGAACCTGCTCTCAGGAGTGATACTCTGATTCGTACTTTTTTCCTGCTGGAAAGGTCAAGTCATGATGGATGAGTTCAGGCAAGGGAGAAGGAGGCTGGGGGAGGCCGGACCACCTGGGCCGTGGGGCTGTGCCGGGCGTGGTGGCCCAGTGGGATGGGGGCAGGGCTGGGCGGCGGGAGGGTTGGAGGAAGGGAGACGCAGCCCCCAGAGCTGTCTCAGGTACTAGCTCTGGCCCCATAGGCGCAGGGGAGTCTCCTTTGTGTTCTCCACGCCTGCTGCCAACAGCTGCTCCTCTGAAGTCCTTTGCCTTACAAAAAGGTTCAGTGACATGACAGGATCTGCTTACTATAGCCCTGCTATGGGGTGCACCGTGTCCCCCGAAAGATGCTGCAGTCTTAGCCCCAGCCTGTGGAAGTGACCTTAACTGGAAACAGGGTCTTTGCCGATGATCAAGTTAAGATGAGGTCATTACAGTGGCGGTCCTTGTACAAAGAGGAAATTTGAACACAGACTCGGACACGCGCAGACAGACGACGTGTGAAGACTGCCGTCTGCCAGCCAGGAAGAGGGCCCAGGAGAGGACTGTCCCTCACAGCCTCAGAAGGGACAACCCGGCCGACGCCTTGACCTCAGACTTCCGGCCTCCGGAGCTGTGCGAGGATAAACCTCGGTGATCGAAGCCGCCCAGCCTGGGGTACTTCGCAACGGCCGCCCCAGGACGCCAAGCCAACACCACCCTAAAGGTGGTGACACGGAGAGAAATCTGTGAAGCTCATACTGTAGAGAGTCTGAGACCGGCAGCTCCCGGCCGAGGCTGCTGCGGCCTGAGCACTCTCAGGGTCCCAAAGGGGCCGCGGGACCAGGTGCAGGCTCGCAGCCCCCTCGGCTGGCAGGTATCACGGGTCCGTGTTCCTTCCCTCCTGTTGTTCCGGAAGATCTACTGTTTGCGAAAAGGAGACGATAAAATCAGGGGTCACTGGGTATCTTCTCCTGTATCCAGTTGGTCACCCAGGAAAACTGTCCCCCAAAGGAGAGAGAAACACACAGCAGCTAAACCTGAGGCCAGCAGAGCCCTCTCTGCCGTCCTCGGCCCCCGCTGGGACAGTCACCCCACACACTTGTCTGTGGAAGAATAACTCTTCAACCAAGAACGCAAAGCACATTTCAAATTCAAAGGTCTGCGGAAATGAGAATGTGAAATCATTCAGAATCCCAGCATACACGCTGAACGGGAAAGAGAGGGGAAAAAAAAACCCTGATTAAATATCGCAGTGGCTAGAATTCAGTAGTGTTCCATCGATGTTGCTAAAAGTAGCACTAAATTAAAGTCACATTTTTACTCCTAAATATGTGTTAAATCACCTCGAGGAGAAGCATTGCAGCACCATGACAAGGAAGGTCTGGTGTGCAGGCCAGTGGAGCGGTATGGTCTCAGAGGGACTCGGCGACATCAGAACCCCACCCAGGGCTACCCACCAGCGAAACCTCACTTCACGCCTTTTAAGGGCCAAGTCTGCAGGGCCAGCACCTCCTTCCCAAAGGCGGGCCCCGGAGCCGCCCAAGCCCTGGGCTCCCCTTAACAAGGAGCGTGCGTCCAGAGGTCAGAACAGCAAAGCACCTACTATTTTGCACGTGGTTCCAGGGGATTCCAGGCAGATGCGGAGTTTGCAGTGCAGGTAGACTATGGAGTTGTTGATGAAGGAAAAGATTTTCAGCTTAACCTGAGCCTTGTAGGAGTTTCCGTTCTCGATCACGATGGTGTGTGTGTTGGGGATGGGGCAGCTGGGAAGAGAGGAATGTGACTCATTAGTTCTAAACCAGCGGTCTTGTCCTCGTTCCCAGGTGAGTTTCCTTCCAATGCACCTGAGGCACATGGAGCCACCCCCATGAGGCTCTGAGAAGGCAAGGATGGCTAGCTCTCCAGTCCCCAAGTTCCCAAGTGAAGGGTCTCCTGCGGGTACTACCTAAAACCCAGGTCCGCATCCGTGTTGCCTGGAAATTCAGAGTCCAAAGCAGCCTACATTGGGGGACAGGTGCCCTGTGCCCCGGAGCTCCTACCTGTTGTTAATGAAGCCAAACATGACGGGGTCCCTGGCGTTGCTGGACGGCGTCGCCCAGCACTCGGTCAGGACTACCTTGAGGTTGCTTTTCTGTTTATAGAGCCCTACTTCGATCTTGATGTCATCGCTGGCAGACACGCTGTAATTTTGAGGAATAGGAGAGTCTCCAATAAATAACTGCATCTCAGTGACAAAGCTCCCAGAGCCGTGGAGGTCCTCGATGATGGTGTAAACCCTGCAGGAGGGAGCGTTTGCAGGGGTCAGCTTCTGTGACCCACCCTGTTCCCACTCCTCCCCCAAATGCATCTCCAAAGGAGTATGGAACTAGGGAAGCCCCCAAATGAGAGCAAGCATAGAGTGGCTATTTCTTCTGAGCTGGCTAGAGCTCGGGGCAGCCCCATCGCTGGCATTTTGTGGAGACTCAAAGGCAGGCAGAGGAGGGGTGAGCTTCTCAGGGAAATGGGGGGCTCAGGTGTGCCTGATGGGGGTGCCATCATGGGCAGCTCGCTAGGAGGGGCATCCTAGGTGACTGGCTCGGGGGACAGGTCTGGTATCTCCGGTTGGTCCTAAGCTAGAAATGGGGACAAAAATCAGGGAAACTGGCATTATCAGGTCCTGGCCACCATCCATTTTTACCTTCGGTCTCTGAGAAGGATCCTCAAGGGACTGAAACCCTAAAGACCTCCCCACTCCCGCCAGGTGATGGCACTGGGAGGAGCGTGAGCCTCAGACAGCTGCAGGGAGACCGCTGCACTCACCCCCACTCAGGGGTGTAGCCCGATGACATGAGGAGGTCGTTCTGGAAGGCACAGTGGATGGGGCTCAGGATCTTCGGGTGGTGGATGACGCCCTCTGGGGACACGTCGTTCCTCAGCACGATCCTCACCACCATATTCGTCATGTTCTGAACACACACGGGCAGTGCGTGAGGTCTTCGGCCCCAGCACAGCTCCGGGTGCAGGGGGATGTTTAACGCTCACTCCCCCAAATACAGCCCCCGCCCGCTTTCCCCAAGACGAGTCGCCAGACAGAGCACAGCATCAGGACACTTGGTTTAGCCTGTATCGTGTGACCATTTTCTTCAATGGAAGAGAACCAGTGACAAACTAGGTCAGACGAGATCCCAAAAATAAGTCAAATTCCTCCCCAGATGATCCCTAAGTACATTTCTGAAACCAGGGTGCAAAACCCTCACCAAAGAAATCAAGAGTTGGGAATGTACATTGGTGCAGCCATTACGGAGAACAGTATGGAGGTTCCTTAAAAAATTAAAAATAGATTTACCATATGATCCAGCAATCCCACTCCTGGGCATATACCCAGAGAAAACTCTAATTGAAAGGACACCTGCACCCCAATGTTCATAGCAGCACTATTTACAACAGCCAAGACATGGGAACAACCTAAATGTCCATCAGCAGATGACTGGATAAAGAAGATGTGGTACATATACATAATAGAAAATTACTCAGCCATAAAAAGAATGAAACAATGCCAATTGCAGCAACATGGATGGACCTAGAGATTATCATACTAAGTGAAGTAAGTCAGACAAATATCATATGATATCATGTACATGTGGAATCTAAAAAGATGATACAAACGAACTTATTTACAAAACAGAGGTGGATTCACAGACATAGCAAACAAACTATGGTTACCAAAGGGGAAAAGAGGAGAGGGATAAATTAGGAATTAGTATTAACAGATACACAGTACTATACATAAAACAGATAAACAGTAAGTTTATACTGTATAGCACAGGAAGCTATATTCAATATCTTATATTGAAAAGTGGAAAAGAATCTGAAAAAGAATATACCTATATCTGAATCGTTTTGCTGTACACCTGAAACTAACACGACATTGTACTCAGCTATACTGCAACAAAAAAAAAAAGGAAAGAAAAAAGAAATCAAGAGTTAAATTGTTTGAAAAGTCTGTGACTTAGCAACCCACATTCTTCCTAATTCTGGGGAGAATAACATAGCACAAGAGTTCAGAGGGCAACCTAAAGAAAATGAATGTGATCTGGAAGAGGACTCTGGGGACGTGAAATGATACCACAGCTCACATCTGCGGACTCTAGTCCCCAGGGAACAATGTGATGTCCATTAGCGTTAATGAGATTTAGCTCATAAATAAAACTATGGAGCAAATCGGTTTTGAGCTAGAGAAATGATCCCAAGGTCACCTGGTATTAAGGACAGATTGCTCAGAATGTGAACGTTTAGCAGAAAGAAGATTTTTCAGATAGTTGTGTACCAGCACAAGTAGATGGGCTTCCCAACATCAAAGAGAGTTCTGAAATTTCTCCAGAGCCCAAAACAGAGATGAAGACCCTGAGGTGCACCGGTTCGCCCATTTGCCCGGTGGAGAGCACTGCAGGAGAAGACACACATTTCTGTGAAAACTGCCGTCGTTATACTGATGCTGAAGTCTTTTGTTTAACAAGATGCCTGAAGCTGTGACTATCCGTCGGAAGCGCTCTACTTGCTAATGGCTTGGAGTCTGACTGTCATGGTGGCGGACTCCCCGAGATCAGCACCCCTTCCCGACGCCTCCGAAAGCACCCCTGCAAGCACAGAGCACAGGGCTGACCGAGGGCCACCGGGGTTTCCCTGCGGTTACAACGGTGTCTCACAGCTGGTAGGGGACATTGCCTGCCCCCGTTACAGTCGCTGGCCTCTACAGTTCAGAACTAGACAAGGGAAATACGTGTGAAATAGATACATCAGAATCATCACATAAAGAGGAAACGGGGGTGTGGCTGAACTTACACCAGTGAAGAAGTGTGGATTAGAGGCAGCGGAAACTCAAAGCCAAGTAAAGCAGGTGCTATTGGAATTCTTGGAGGACAGAAGAGCAGAGTATAAGCCGTATGGCAAAGGGTTCAGTTCTGACAAGGTCACCAGCACAGGGTTGGCTGAAAATAGAAATGTTGAGACTAACAATACCAATGAGGCCTGCGAATCTGACAGACGAGGAACCCGGTGGCCAGACAAGCCTCGGTGGGTCTGAGAACAAAGCATCCGCAAGGAAAGCCTGGACAGGTAGGGAGGGCGTTGTCTGCTCTCTGATGATCGGATGTGAAAGTCCCTGAAGAGGACATTTTGAGGTCCCTTTCCCTTCTGCAGCTCCTGCATCTGCTCCATACTGGCTGTTTTATAAGAAATCATAGAATGGGTGTATTTCCCTTGTGTGCATCTTAAACAGACCTGGACAAACTGATAAAGTTGCTTACATTAAAGAATCTGTAGCTCTTGAACATCATACTTAACAGTGAGAAGCTGAAAGCATTTCCTCTGAGATCAGGAACAAGATAAGGAAGCTCACTCTCACCACTTTTATTCAACATAGTTTTGGAAATCCTAGCCACAGCAACCAGGCAAGAAAAAGGAATCCAGATTGGAAAGGGAGAAGCAAAACCGTCGCTGTTCGCAGAGGACGTGGTCCCACACACAGATGCCACCAAGACACTCACCCACGAATTCAGTGAAGTTTCAGGAACAAAACTAATATACAGAAATCTGCTGCATTTCTGTACACTAAGAGCAAGCTGTCAGAAAGAGAAATTAAGAAAGCAATCTCATTCACAATCACATTAAAAAAAAACACCTAGGAATCAATTTAAGAAAGTAAAAGACCTGTATTTGGAAAACCGAATATAACACAAACAGGTGGACAGGCACAGTGTCTTCATGGATTAGAAGAACTAGTGTTGCTTAAATGGCCGTACTATCCAAAGCAGTCTCCAGATTCAATGCAATCCTTGTCAATATACCAATAGCATTTTTCATGGAACTAGAACAAATAATTCTGAAACTTATATGGAAACACAAAAGACCCTGAACAGCTCAGACAATCTTGAGAAAGGACAAAGCTGTGGTGTCACCCTGCACTACGAAGCTACAGCATTCAAAACAGCATGGCACCGGCACAAAAACAGACAGACCAATGGAACAGGACAGAGAGCCCAGGAATTAAGCTACACGCTTACAGTCAATTCATCTACGAGAAAGGAGGCAAGAATATACAACGGGGAAAAGTCAGCCTCTTCAATAAATGGTGCTGGGAAAACACCAAACTAAGTGAAACTAAAAAGCTGCTGCACAGTGAAGGAAACTTTCAACAAAACCAAAGGGCCACCTACTTAGTGGGAGACGATATAAGCAAGTGATACGTCCAATAAAGGGCCAATATCCAAAGTGTACAAAGAACTCATACAACTTAACATCAAAACAACAAACCACCTGAGCACAGGGTCTAGATAGACAGTTTCCCGAAGACATACAGATGGCCACCAGGCACACGGAGCGATGTTCAACATCAGAACCGCAGTTAGGTATCAGCTCACACCAGTCAGAACAGGCATCATCAAACGTCTGCAGATAAACGCTGGAGAGTGTGTGGGAAACAAGGAACCCTTCCACACCGCCGGTGGGAATGCAACTGGTGCAGCCACTATGGAAAACAGTATGGGTTCCTCAAAAAATTAAAAATAGAGCTACCATATGATCCAGCAATTTTATTCCTGGGTATCTATCTGAAGAAAACAAAAACATTAATTAGAAAAGATATATGCACCCCTGTGTTCATAGCATCATTATTTATAATAGCTAAGATGTGGAAGCAACCCAATGCCCATCAATAGATGAATAAATAAAGAAGATGCATGATATCTGTGTGTGTGTGTGTGTGTGTGTGTGTGTGTTAAGTTAAGACTACTTATCACGACCTAAAATAAAAAAGAATTAAGTTTAACTTTTACCTTAGTTTAGAACGAACAACTAAGTAACGGAACCGGTACCGGTAGGGGTA